ATTCTCAGTTCTATTCCATGTATCTTTGTGACCATCCCTTTACCAATACCACACAGTCTTGATTACGCTCTATCTATATAATAATTCTTGCAATAGAATAGATTGATTTTTGTCCTACATTATTCTTCTTCTTCAAAGTAATTAGTTTAAAAACATCTGCAAAGGGTATTAGGCTTGGTGTTAATTTTTAAAATAATGATCTTTCAGGCAGGATTTACAAAACAGGAGAAAGTCACCCCTGACACAGTCAAGAAGAACCAGGGAAATATATTGCAAATCCCGGTTCCTCGCAACCAGAGAGGGTTTGTGCCTCGGCACTGGTCTGTGTGGACTCATCCGCAAAGCCACCCTCTACGCACACTAGAAAGCGACTTCAAATATTTCCTGTAGAACTCCACCTGTACTTGAATGGAAGGGGGCTCCTGTGGTTCTCTAGTAGTCCATGAGCTGAAATTCCGTCTCCAATGTGGTGATCTTTTACATTGGGGGCCCCTAATGAACCTCTCAATATTCATGCCTTATACAGTCTACCCCCCATAACTTGCTTTAAACATTAGAATGTGTCAAAAAAATGATGTTTTCCTTATATATAAAAATCAATTCTTGCTTTCCTATATACAAGCAATGAACAATTGGAATTTGAAATAAAAAACACAGCACCAACTGACATTGGCACCCCCAAAAGTGAAATACTTAGATATAAATCTAACAAAATATGTATAGGACCCACATGAGGAAAATTACAACATTTCAATGAAAGAAATAAAACATCTAAATAAATGGAGAGATATTCATGTTCATGGATAAAAAGACTCCATATTGTTAACATGTCAGTTTTTCCCACTTAATCTATAGATTCAAAGCATTCTCAATCAAAATCCCAGCAAGTTACTTTGTGGACATCTGCAAACTGATTCTAAAGTTTACGTAGAGACACAAAAGACCCAGAATAACCAACATGATATTTTTTTTAGTATAAGAATATAGATATAGGAAGCTTGTTTTTTATTTTTTTAATTGAAATATAATTGACCTATAACATTGTGTATGTTTAAAGTGCACAATGTGTTGATTCGACATGTTTATATATTGCAATAAGATTATCACATAGCTTTAGCTAACATGTCATATAATTATTACTTGTTTTTTGTTGTGGGAAAAATTAAGATCTAGTCTCTTAGCAACTTTGAAATTTGTAATACAGTATTGTTGACTATAATCATTATGTTGCACGTTAGCTCTCCAGGACTTATTTATCTCCTAGTTCCCAGTTTGTACCCTTAAGCAACATATCCCCAGCACAATATTGAAGAAGAAAACAAAGTCTTCTTTGGTAGAGGACTGGCATTATCTGCCTTCAAAACTTACTATAAAACTACAGTAATTAGGGGCTGGCCACGTGGCCGAGTGGTTAAGTTCACGCGCTCCGCAACAGGCGGCCCAGTGTTTCGTTGGTTCAAGTCCTGGGTGTGGACATGGCACTGCTCATCAAGCCACGCTGGGGCGGCGTCCCACATGCCACAACTGGAAGGACCCACAGCAAAGAATATACAACTGTGTACCGGGGGCCTTGAGGAGAAAAAGGAAAAAAAATAAAATCTTAAAAAAAAAAATACAGTAATTAAAACAATGTGTTAATGGTGAATGAATAGTCACATAGATCAATGGAACAGAATAGAGATCCCAGAAATAGACAAATCGAAATCAACTGATCTTTGACAAAGGAGCAAAAGCAACTTAATGGAGAAAGAATAGTCTTTTCCACAAACAATGCTGGAATAACTGGACAATCACATTTTAAAAAATGAATTTAGACAATAACCTTACACTTCTCACAGAAATTAACCCAAAATTCACCATAGACTTAAATATAAAATCAAAGCTATAAAGTTTCTAGAAAATAGTATAGGAAAAAATTGAGGTGAACTTGGGTTTAACAGTGAGTTTTTAGATATAATACCAAAACCATGATCCAAGAAAGAAAAAATTGATAAGTTGGATTTCATTAAAATTTAAAACTTCAGCCCTGCAAAAGACATTGTTAAGAGAATGAAAAGACAATCTCACAGACTAGGAAAAAAATATTTATAAAACACACATTTGATAAAGGATTTGTATCCAAAATATACAAAGAACACTTAAAACTCAACATTAAAAAAACAAACAACTCAATTAAAAAGTGGGCAAAAGATCTGAACAGATATCTCACCAAAGTAGATATACACATAACAAATAAGCATATGGAAAGGTAATCAACATTACATGCCATTAAGGAATTACAAATTAAGACAATAACGAGATACCACTACACATCTATCAGAATGGCAAAAATCCAAAGCACTGACAACACCAAATGCTGGTGAGAATATAGTGCAACAAGAGCTCTCACTTGTTCTTGGGAATGCAAAATGATACAACCACTTTGTAAGACAGTTTGGCAGTTTTTTAACAAAGCTAAACATGGTGTTACCATGCAAGGCACCAATCGTTCTCCTTGGTATTTACCCAAATGAATAAAAACATGTCCACATAAACACCTACACATAAGTGTTTATAGAAGCTGTATTCATAATTGTCAAAAATTGAAGCAACAAATATGCCCTTTAATAAGTGAGTGGATAAACAAACTGTGGTACATCCATACAATGGAATATTATTCAGTGCTAAAAACAAATGAGCTATCGAGCCATGAAAAGACATGGAGGAAACTTAAATGCATATTAAGTGAAAGAATCCAATCTGAAAGTTTGTATGATTCCAACTACACGACATTTTGAAAAAGGCAAAACTATAGAGAGAATAAAAAGATCAGCGGTTTCCAGAGGTTAGTAGGGGGGAAAGATAAACAGGTGGAGAACAGAGGACTGTCACACAGTGACTCTTTCTGTAGGATACTATAATGGTCGCTACATGACGTTATGCGTTTGCCAAAGCCTTTAGAACCATATAACACAGGGTGAACTCTAATGTAAACTACAGACTTCAGTTAATAATATGTATCAACATGATTTCATTGATGTAACAAATATATTGCACTAATGCAAGATGTTAATAATAGGGGAAACTCTGGGGGAAGGGGGATGTATATGGGAACCCTGTGTACTTTCTGTACAAATTTTGGTAAAACTAACAATTTTTAAAAAATTGCAGTGCTGCGGCTCTAATGGGCATAAGCCTTAAGCAGACCTGGTAGCTTGGACTTCTGTGCTTTTAGGAGCCTTTACTCTTTACCTGCCATATAAAAAGTCCCACTACGTTTCTGGAGAGACCAAGTGGAGGGACATGGAGGGGTCAAGTGGAGAGAAAGACGCCCTGAGATCACAGAGAAGAGTCAAAGAACCCAGTCAACTACAAAATCCCAGGCCCAGACATTTGCTCCAGTTGAGCCATCACAGCCAGCTCCAAGCCATTTCAGACATCCTAGCAGAAGCACCAGACATGTGAGTGAAGGAGTCATCTCGAACTTTGCAGCCCCAGCAGATACCATGCAGAGCAGAGACAAGCCATCTCCACAGTGCCCTATTTGGATCCCTGGCCCACATAACTGTAAGCAAATAAAATGGTTATTTTAATCCACTTAGTTTTGAGGTCATTTGCTACTCAGCAACTGATAAGTAAAAAGACGAAATAAATTAAAAGTTACTGAAAAAAAGCAGACATTTTAGTTTGCTTCTCAGCCCCGTAGTGTTTAGCTCTATGCCAATGGAAAGCATAATTGATTCATAAAACAAGAGACCTTGTTAAGGGACCCTGCTTTCATGTTCTGTCTTTTCTATCAGAATCTTGGCTGCAGTCATTAGGGGAGATGCACCCGGTTCAATTAGCTACTATAAAATCCTGTAACTTGGAACTTTATGAGCGGTGCCAAGGATTAGCTGATATCATTCTGCAGAACGAACTTGTTCAGTTGGCACATATGATGCTATGCAATAAAGGAGGAGTGATGGATAGGTGTTCCCAGCCTTCGTTTCTAATTCTTCCTCACTAGGAATTTGTCAAAGAACCTTAGTTGGATATTCGACCAATATTCATGGAGCACTACCACTTGCCAGGCACTGTCCAAGCATGCTGCACAGCACAGGGAAGACCACAGAGCCCCTGCAGTCAGGGATGTTTCCTGCAGAGACCGGGTGGGAATAGGTGGGGTGGGCTGAGCTCAGCCAGATTGATCTTATTGAGATACCCAGATTATGCAAATGTTCCTCCACCCTTAGTCTAGATGGCTCCCAATGCTCATGTTACAAAAATTAAATGAACAATAAAAATAATACTACAGAGCCCTTATTACTTATGAATTACAAGAAATTCTGAGTTTCTATCTGTAATTCAGATTTCAGTGCAACGTCTTCATTGACTGTAAAGATGAGTTCTTTCTTCCACAACTGCCTAATGTCTGCTGCTAATTATCCTTTATCCTAGAAAACATGTCTCTTGTGATCTACAGACCCAGCAGCTTCTGTCTTGAAACTGAAGTATCTCACTCAGCTGACTTTCTGCCTATGTTTTGGTTAGAGCTGGGGGAGATTGGGTCTGAAATAAAATGGAACACCCATTGGTGCCAAAACTAGGAATATCTCACATCTCAGTATCTCTTTTTTTTTTTTTCTTTTTTCTTTTTCTGACTTTGGACTTTATTCTTTCAACAAATTGTAGATAATGGAAGAATAAATAGATTATTTAAAGAAAATGTTATCTATATATGCACTGAGGGATACAAATTTGGTGACAGAAGAGATTCAAGAACATGCTGGTATCTCAGAAGCAGTTGTCAGTTTTATTCTCTTGGATTTTATGAATGCTTAAGATCCTTCTTCATCCTCAATCTATGGAACCCCATCAGTCCCCTCCTCTGACAGCTACTGGCCCTGCAATGACAACATGCTTTCTAGTTTGACTTTCTGGGGCTAATCAGCTTCCTGGGTTTCTCAATCTCTCAAAAAACCTCAACCCTCCACCCTCGCTTGGCACCGCCCTCTCTTTCTGTGTTCCTTGGAGACTGCATTCCACAGCGTGTGTGCTAGGGGGAGGCGGAGGCAAAGTCCAGCTTCCCAAAGGAAGGCTCACCCGGAGAACACACAGGTTCACACTTGGGAGTCGCTGTGAGTTCTGTTGTTATTTTTAGATTTTCCGCCTGTGTTCTGAGTAATGCTGAGAGCCGAAAAGAGTGAACCATATTGCTGCTATTGTCTGAGGTTTGTGTATACCACAGAGGCTTATTAGAGAATTAAAAAGAAAAGAAAAGAAATTTTTCCAGGGCTAGGATCCAAGAGGGATCACCTGGAGCAGGGAAAGAAAGAGGTCCTTTTGGGGGGTGGGGGGGACAGGGTGCAGGGAAGTTGGATCCAAATCATAGAGTAAATGTAGGGTCACTAAGCAATTCAATTAACGAGCTCTTTTTTAGAGAGAAAAATAAAAATATTCAACATATCCACTTATAAAATAAAATAAAGAGTCAAAATAGAGTACTCAATTTAATAAGTGTAAGGATATTAAAAATTTCTGCAATATACCAAAGAAAAACAAGTGAAAGGAGCTAGAAGTCAATGTGGAAGAATCTAGAGGGGGAGCGGCCCGGTGGCACAGCGGTTAAGTTCAAATGTTCTGCTTCTTGGTGGCCTGGGGTTCTCCAGTTCGGATCCTGGGTGTGGACATGGCACTGCTTGGCAAAAGCCATGCTGTGGTAGGCGTCCCACGTATAAAGTAGAGGAAGATGGGCATGGATGTTAGCTCAGGGCCAGTCTTCCTCAGCAGAAAATGAGGAGGATTGGCTGTAGTTAGCTCAGGGCTAATCTTCCTCAATAAATAAATAAATAAATGGGGGGAGGGAAGACAAGGAAGAAGATGGGAGAGCTGAAGGAGAAGAGGAAAGGAACAGTTGGACCACAGGCTCCAGAGGGGTTCTGGGAGATAGAGACCATGTCCCTCATGTCCCTCAGATTGAGGTCAAATAACTCGTCTTGTTTTCTCGGCAATCTTGAGAAAATCCTCTTGGCCTTCTTTTCTTTACTTGCAAATCAAACAGATCAAATGATTTTCTGGAGTCACTTCCCTGTCCTGGTACTTTGCCCCATCTCTGAGGCCAGGAGGTGGCTTCCACACAGTGGCTGCAGCTCAGCAGATCTCCTAAAGAACTTACCTTGCTGTTTGTTTTGCTAAATGTTTAATTTTCTTGTGTATTTTTCACCCTTTCAGTATGTTTTGTAATTTATGCTTGCTGCTGACTTTACTTCTAAGGTCCTTTTTAGTTCTAGGAGTCTATGATGCTGGAGCCAAGGGCTGTGTGATTACCTGCTTCTCAGAGGTTATAGTGCCAGCCCATAGCTTTGAGGAAATGAGATACTGTGTTATTAACCAAGTAAGAGAGTCTAGAAAGCGCAATCCTGAGACTCTGTAACCATCCTGGGTACAAAATGTCAGAAGACTGTTGCCCAAACAATTGCTTCATAGGGAAGTGGCAAACTACAATTATTTCTTGCAATTACACAGCACAATGAATAGAGGTGGTGACAGCACTTGTAGTTCATGTTTGAACTCATTAAGGAACAAAAGCTTGCAGGATCACCGGAGCACGCTCATGGGGGCCAAAGAGTGCTAAAGCTTTGAGATTTATTGTGCTTGCAGGTCTCAGACTCCCGAGGCACCTTCACCTGCCTTGTCCGGTGAGTCTAATCACATTCTACGTCTTAGCCTCTCAGGTTACTTATTCACATTATTTAACGTTTGTTTACTGGAAGATATTGCCAGATAAGTGGCTGAGAAACATGAGGGTAGAATCTGTCTTGTTTTACTTCTTATTTTTTATGGAACCTAGGACAAAAGTGGCACAAAGTAAGCATACAAAACGTACTTGATTCATTAATGATCATGAACCAAATGAACAAATAAATAATTAATGAACAAATGATCAAACTGTGGTTGTGGTGTAAAGAGATATACCTGAACTGGTCTCCATGTCCTGTCTTCCCAAACCCAAATGCCTGAACCGCTGGGAGAAATTTTGGAGGAAACCTGGCACATCACCCTCATTTAACAAAACACAAAAAGGATAGATTTCAGCTTATACAGATGAGAGCTGGAAGAGACCCCAAAATTTAGTTAGACCAAACTGCTCATCTTACAGAAGAAAGAAAAAAGAAAGTGTAGAATTGACATATTCGGTTAGGGTCCAACTAAGACTAGAACCAGTTAGTAGTCAATCTCCACCTTGACCATTAGAGCTCTTTACCTGTTGATGTCTGAATAATCCTTTCTTTTAACTGCTGCCTATGTCCAACCAAAGAAGCCCTGTACAAAATTCTGGGGAATATCCTATAGGCTTTCTCATTGAAATAGATCAGCATACTCCAAAAATAATAACCTCTCCCTCTGAGGAGAGACAACCAAAGGAACACTCTGAAAGTTGCTAAGAAAAAAGCAAGCTAGTTTGTGACCCCAGGACTGAAGGAACAGCACAACAGCAAAGCATCTTATAACCCTCCATTCTGCTGATGATGTACCCACACCCAGCAATTCCTCACCCCCAACCTAACAATAGAAAGCAGCCCACATAGGCTCATTCTTCATCCTGATTGAACAGGAGTCCCTCTGACAACATCAGATGAACCCCTAGTATGAGGATTGACTGGGAGCTCTGCAAACAATAACAATCTAGGTAAAGTGTGCTTCTTCTCCATGGGGCTTGTGACTCACCTCCTGTTTCAAAGACACCAGATAGCCAGGGAGCACCAGCAAGGAAGATCTTGCCACAACAAATGGCCAGGCCTGGGAAGTGCCCTTCATCCCTATAGAATGATCCTATAGGATTCAGAGATTCCTTTCTCCCATCCCAGAGACACCAGGTGGCCCTGCCTAGGGAATCTCCTTTCACCCTCTCAGGTGGCACCAGTCATGACTATTGGGATACCCAGCTGCAACAGGCATCAAGCAGAACAAAATAGCAAAGCAAAAGCTCTGAAAATAAAATTTTCGTTGAAACCACAGCCCACAAAATTAGTCCAGGGCCTGTGTGCTAAATCTAAATAGGATGACTGCCTGCTATAATAAAAGACTTAAATAGGACCCGGACTTTCCTAACATAATAGTCAAAATATCTATGATATTATTTAAAAACAAGACACCTGTTATACCAATAACCAGAAACATAAAAACTGAATGAGAAAAAGCGATCAACTGACAGCAGCATCGGATGAATCAGGTGTTGGAATTGTCTGACAAGGATTTTAAATCAGCCATCATATAAATGCTTCAGCAAGCAATTCCAATTCTTTTGAAACAAATGAAAAAATAGAAAATTTCAACAAAGAAATGGAAATTATAAAAGAACCAAAGGGAAATTTTAAATTTTTTAAATGCAACAACAAAAATAAAGAGCTTTCTGGACAGGCTCAGTGTTCGAGTGGAGAAGACGCAGGATAGGGTCAGTGGACTTAAGGAGAGAATAATAGAATTTACCCATTTGAACAGATTTATAGAATTTACACAATTTACCAACAGAAAATAAACTGAAAAAAAATTAACAAATTTCAGGAACCAATGGGACAATAACATAAGAACCAATATTTGTGTCATCAGAGTCACAGAGGGAGAGAACAAGGACAGTAGAGATGAAAGAACATTCTAAGAAATAATGGCTAAATGCTTCCCATATTTTGCAAGATATAAACCTACTGGGTAAAAAAAACTGAATAAATCCCAAATAAGATAAACACAAAGAAATACATGTGAAGACGCATAAAAATTAAATTCTGAAAAGTAAAGCGAAAGAAAAAAAGAACCCTTGAAATCAGCCAGAGAAAAAACGACATTAGCTGTAGGAAAACACTCATTTGAATGACAGCAGATTTCTCACCTGAAACCATGGAGACCAGGGGGGAGCAGCACGCCTTTTTCAAGTGCTGAAAGAAAAGAACTACCAACTATTAGTTCCATATCCCAGAAAACTGCAGAAATGGAAGACAAATAGACATTCTCAGACAAAGGTGAAGTAAGAGAATTTGTCACTAGCAGACCTATCCTTAAAGAGTGGCTAAGGGGGCCAGCCCGATGGCACAGCAATCAAGTTCGCACGTTCAGCTTCTCGGCGGCCTGGGGTTCACCTGTTCGGATCCCAGGTGCGGACATGGCACCACTTGGCAAGCCATGCTGTGGTAGGCGTCCCACGTATAACGTAGAGGAAGATGGGCATGGATGTTAGCTCAGGGCCAGTCTTCCTCAGCAAAAAGAGCAAGATTGGCAGTAGTTAGCTCAGGGCTAATCTTCCTCAAAAAAAAAAAGAGAAAAGAGTGGCTAAAGGACGTTCTTCAAAGAGAAAATGATAAAAGAAGAAATCTTGGCTCATCCAGAAGAAATAACAATGGAAATAAGAGAAATTTGGGGACATATGATAGATATCCTTCTCCTTGCTAATTTTATTTTAAAATACTGTAAGTCCACTGTTTTTTTAGACATAATGCTATTGCACGCTTAGTAGACTACAGTATAGGGTAAATGTAACTTTTGTATGCACTGAGAAACCAAAAAAATTGTATGCCTCACTTTATTGTGATATTCAATTTATTTTGGTGGTCTGGAACCGAGTCGGCAATATTTCCGAGATATGCTTGTATTTCTTTTGAATTTCTTTTGAGACTTTTTCTTTCACCCATGGATTGCTTAGAAATGTGTTGTTTAATTTAAAAGTGCTTGGAGATTTTCCTACTGTATTTCTATTATTGATTTCTGGTTTTATTCCTTTAAGATCAGAGAACATACACTGCATTTAAATTCTTTTAAATTTGTTGAGTTGTGTTTCATGGTGCAGGATATTGTCTATTTTGGTATGGGTTCCATGAAAGCTTGAAAAAAATGTGTATCCTGCTGTTGTTTGATGGATCATTTTATGTATATCACTTGGATTTTCTTGGCAGATTTTGTTATTTAGGCCTTCTATATTCTTGCTAATTTCTGTTTAATCAACACTGTATCACTTGTTCAGTGGGGGATGTTGAAGTCCTCAGGTGTAAATGTGGATTTGTCTATTTTTTCTTTCAGCTCTATAAGTTTTTGCTTCAAGCCTTTTAAGGCTCTATTGTTTGGTGCATACATTTAGGATTGTTATGTC